CTGCTCACAACCCAGCTCCTGGGGGAATTACAACTGCCTGAGTGTGGGGGACAATGCCATAATCCATCTTCAAGCCCTAATTGAGTGGCTATTTGAATTACTGGATATTCGAGTTATTGGGTATTCTGGAAGAAAATGGCCGAGGAGAGAATGCCCAGCAAGAATTTTCCTTTGGTTGTGTCAGAGCCCTGCTTTAATTCCTGTCCTGTTCTTAAAGATGTTACTAGCCCAAAGAAAAGGCCATATGTAAAGTATTCTGGGATTTCCCAAATCCTTGGATCAGCACCTTCTTTAGTGACAAAACGCCTGAACACTGCTGCAGGTTTGAGAACCTGACATATCCCTCCCATTCTGGTGAATTATTCACACCTTTTGCTGATCAGGAAAACACTTTGGACCAAGAGTGTTGAAAAGCAGCTGAGAGCTGTGGGGAGGAATTGATGCTGGAGGAACAGCTTCACAGGCACTCAGGCTTTTAGAATAAATAAACAGACATTACCAACTTTGCTAGCAAGAGGAAATGTTTCACACTTGTTTTGTCAATATTCCTTGCATAGGATTTTCCTTGTAAGTTTTAGTTTCATTTCTAAGCTAAGGAAATACACAGCCTATCCACGATGAAAAGATCTCTCCTCACATTTGGCTTCTGATGCACGTAGCTCAGCTTTATTAAGATAGAAAATAAAAGTGCATTTCTTCCAACAGTTTCATTATGATGCAAAGACTGACTGCTCACCTCGCTGTTATTTTCAGCTGTCACATTTCAAGAATTTAACCCAAGTTCTTCACTTGTTTCCAACAGAACGTGGCTTCTTCTCAACTCTGGTGAAGAAAGACCCCTCAGAAATGAAAGCATGTGAAGACGAAGCCTGAAGCAGAGAAATAACACTGTACTAAATTTCTGCCTTCCTGAGACAGAACATTCCACATACAAGAGGAAAACTTAGGTCCTGTGGGTGTAACTTGGGTCTTGTAAATGTAACTCAGGTCCTGTAAGTGTAAATTTCCAGGTGAACTCTGGAATCTGTGAATGCTTTCTTCCCTCCCACCATCCCCCTTCTCTTCCACAAGCTACAACACATCATTTCAGCCATTAACTTCCATTCTCTTGTCTCTGCCTTCTTCCAAATCCCTGCACTAGTGCTTCTCTCTCCACATTTCCAACATTTATGCAACTGTAAATGACCTCCTCAATAGCAGTTGCTTTTACAATAAAGTGATTTTCAGCCACTAGTGTGTTCTTATTTAATATTACCTAATCATCAATCAGATCCTTTAGCTCTAGACTGATTTATAGCAAGAGGCCTTAATCATTAGTAATTACTGGGTTCTGATTCCATTATCACTCCCCTGTGACAGGGAGGGAACCTTTAATTATAGATAGGCAGAGGGTCATGAGCCTGGGATGTTCCAGAATTTACGTAAGTAGAGAGACTGAGATTTCCAAATGAGTTTAGAAGCCAAGAATCCAACCATGATTTAAACATCAGCAGCATCTGATAAAGGGATTTTTAAATATTTCTAAAAAAAAAAAAATTGCTTCAGTTAGTAAGACTACTTACGTTTTAGAGATTTTAACTTCACCTGAAATTGTTTTAAACCACTGTTAATTTTTACCTCTGTTTCAATATTACACAATATAATTGCTTCAGTTTTGATTTTTTTTTTTTTTTTTTAAGAGAACTGTACACCATTGAGCAACAGTTTTGATCTCTGATCATTAAGTAGCTCTGAAGTAAACTGCACTTTTAATTTGATTTATGATACAGGCAGCTTACTGGTATGATCCAGTCTGGCAAGTTTTGTGTTTATGTCTGTATTTTCATTCAGAAAAAGTAATTATAATTTCAACATACTAGAAAGTGATAGAGAAATATTTGTGGTACACTTACAATAAATTGTCATGAGTCATACAGGGTTCCCTCTGCAGTTTAAAAGCCTTTTCTTTGATAAAAAGCATGAGCTCCACAGTAAGTAATAATCCACTGCAGAACTTCTAAAAGGACTATTTAACATTAAGATCAAGCTACTTGTAACATGGTAGAGAGAGCTGCCATTAAAGAACTCTAAACATATTCTAATTATCTTTTTAATTTTTTTCTTTGTAAGACTGCATATGAATATTTTAATAGTATGACTGATATAATTCGTACTTATGCTTACTATTTTTAAGGAGAGATTGAGGAAGCTATTATTAAGTATTTAGTACTTTGTACTCAGCAACAATTTAATTTTCTATGCAGAGACAGACAAACTCACGCTGGCAACTGAAGTGGGTATTTTGTTGGTGCAGTGTGTGCCGTGTTTTGGTTGAACACATTTAGGTGGGATCCTCAAATGAAGTTTGCAGGCCAAGATACCCATAAGTCCTTCTAACACATGCATAGCTCAGCTGGCAGGAGCCAATTAATTTGGAAATCCACTCTAAATGTGGTGTGGATCCATCTCTGGGATCAGGATGTTCAGGACAGCTGCTGAGATACCAAACACTGTTTAATATTAACTCGTGTGTCACAGCAAAGCCTGTGAAGTTGGCATAAGCAAACTTAGCACTCACTGCCCCCCAAATGCAGCTTGCCCCTGAAATGATTTGTGTTTTGCACAAAAAACAGCTGCCCCGGGAAAACTGAGGTTTTTCTAAGGAAATTTTCCCGGTTCTACTTACCCATGCAGCAGAATAATGACTGAACAAATCAGTCCTGCTTCCTCACTGGATGTGAAGCACTGGAATACTTGAAAGGATCACCCTTAGGAGCCAATGTTCACATGCTGAATTTATTATCTACTCTCCTGAAGCAAGAAGAGGGAGAAAAAAAATCTGTGACCTGTTAACTCTTTGAAGTAGTGAGGTGTTTGTGAATCACAACTTTCCAGACATGAAAGATTTGCTCAGAAGGGCTGAAAAATAATGTCTTGCAACTCGAAGTGTTCCAGAAGCTGGTATGAAGCAGTGAGACCTGCCTTCTTTTTTTTTTCTGTACTTTTGAATGTTTGAAAAATGCCTTAAGCTGTGTTCATGTTACTTGTGGCAACCTGCCGAGACAGTTAAAGAGATAAGAGAACATGGTAAAATGTGGGGGGAAAAAAGTACTGAATATGTTTTGCTTAAATGACCGTATTTTTACAATTCAAATTGGGAATTTGTTCTGTATTCTGGTCGGGATATCTTTGTGTTCTGAATCAGTGTGTCTACAGTGAATTCCTCAGGAGGGTCAGGGCACGTCAGTGCTCCTCATGTCCAGGCTGCAGCTTTGGATGGAGACAAGACCTCAGTCACTTCCTCAATCTTTGTTTTTCTTACTGTTTTTTGAACAGAAGTTACGCAATTGTCAAATCACTTCAGGTAGGCTCCAACCTCTCTGGCCACCCTGCTCTGCCTTGGGAAGCAGGCCCAGAAACTGAACCTACTCCCTCAGGAAATTTCTCCTGGAGTAGTGGTTCCAGTCATAGATTTTGCTTGGCCTCATGTTCTGTTTGATCATGCTCCAGCAAATTCAGTTTTTCAAAGTACTTTGTGATGAGTCTGACAGAGATATACTCAAATCTGAAGGCAACATGCAGAAACACAGCAGCCTTACTCTGCTGCAAGAATCTACCATGGATTTAACACAGATGAAAAGTGTCCCATGTTCCAATATATATCAAATGACAACTATTTTAAGTTTGGAATTTCAAGATAATAAATCATCCTTGTAATGTACTCTTGAGATTCTACTGTGGTTGAAATACTCAATCACTGATTTTTGCACTGCTTCTGTGCAAATGTGGGTTTAAGGAACTCAGAGCAGGCCCCAGTGTAGCTGTCAGATCCATCACCCAATGAGCCCTAACAAGGAATCATTCCTGCTGAAGATTAGCTCAGAAATCAAAGAAAACAGCCAATTTCCTACTGTACGTGTAAGGGTTTCTTGTTTGATCTGTGTGCTGAAGAGTTTGTTTGTTGGAGATAAAAGCGCTTTAGATGCTACACACAGAGCAAAGCCCATGACAGATTTTGGGGAAAGAGAAATGTATGAATCAAAGAGGTCAGAGGGTTTATTTGGGATCGTACATACACACAGCCACTTCATTCACTCAGGAAGAGACTGAACAGCTGGAAGATTGCTCTAATTCTTTTGGATTAATTGATGGTTTTCTCAAAATGGCTACAAAACAACAAGTACAGCCCATAGGTTTCATGCAGTGTTTTGAATTATTCTATTCCACAACATCCCCTTATGCTCTCTGTCCTTGGGATAGGACAACCCAGAAACCATCAGCAGTATTGAGCATATTTAATGTTTTAAAGTGAGCTCAAAATCACTCTATTACCTACAGGAATATACCTGAACAGATTTTACTCAGAAACTGTGAATAAAATTGGCTCTGCAATTTTATTGAACCTTCTCCTGAAATTTCATTCTCATTTTATCCACTCATATTTCTGGCACCCACCCCCCACTGCTCAGGCTCAAAAGCTATTTCTGATTTATTGACCTTTAACTTCAGGGTGGCAAATATTTCTCACTAAGCTCTGAATAGAAACTTTTTTTCCCCCAAATGTTGATCATAATGAAGATACGAAAATAGATACAGCTCATATCCAGCTAGCAGGAATAAAATACCACATCACCAAGAACCTGGGCTTGTCCCCCACTGCTGCTGTACCCTCACTTTTCTAGACCCAGCTCTCCTGTACTCTTCAAGTCCATCCCCTGCATACTAAGGATCTAGACCAATCCCATGAAATTCATAGCACAGAACTGTAGAATTGAGTTTGAAGAGACCTTAAAGGCCATTCAGTGCCACCCTCCAGCCATGGGCAGGGACACATTTCCAACCTTGTGTGATTCTGTGATTCTGCGACCTCCCGTTTCTGCCCCTGTCCTGGTTTAGGGCAAATTTGGGAGAAAATCTCCAAAGGGGCTCCTCCAGAAAGCAAACCCACACGGCCCCTCCCTCCCACCGGTTCGGGAAGGATTCCTCAGAGAGAAGTGGAAAGAACCTGTTTATTTACCAGGGAAAACACCCCCAGCACACAAAATGAACAATACCAGATGACAACGCTCTTTCACCACTCTGAAAAAGATGACAAATTCAGAAAGTCTCTCCTGGGGTGGTCGCTCTGTTATCGGTCCCTCAGGCGCTGGGAGCAGCTGCCACAAGGTGCAAACTCTCGGTGTTTCCCAGGCCTCAGTCGGGAGCAGGCTCAAGTCGTTCCAAGAAAGGGAAAGAAAGACAGTCCAGGGAAAGTTCGGACTGCCTAGCTAAACTAACTAACAAGGAAAAGCAAAAAAGCAAGAGCAAAGCAGGAGCAAAGCAGAAGCAAGAGCCAGAGCAAAGCGAAAGCCAAGCAAAAAGCGAAAGCCGCACTATGTACTGCCCTGTCTCTGCATCCTGCCAGTCGCGGGGGAGCACGCTGATAACAAAACAAAAACAAAACTTCGCTTTTCAGAGCCAGTCTTGAAGGCCCAGAACATAACATCGACCATAAAAAGAACAGACGACTGGGGATACAAGCATGATAACATCACCCTAGGACAGCCCGCAGCTCCCCGAGGCTCTGCTGGGGACTCCTGAGGCGTTTTCCGTGCCTGTCCGAGCGGATCCGTAACTATCTACAAAGGGAATCTGAGGAGGGCACTGGGTGTAGCCGTGACCGCACTGCTGGGCTGTGGAGACATTCATCACTTCGGGCAGGAATCACAGAATATCCTGAGCAGGAAAGATCACCGAGTCCAGCCCCTGGCCCTGCACAGACCCCCAACAACCCCACCCTGGGCATCCCTGGAGCGCTGTCCAAATGCTCTGGAGCTCCGGCAGCCTTGGGGCCGGGACCATTCCCTCGGGAGCCTGGGCAGTGCCAGCACCCTCTGCTGGAAGAACCTTTTAAAATCCAACCTAACCCTCCCCTGGCACAGCTCCAGCCGTGCCCTGGCTCCTGTCACCAGAGGGGAGAGCCCAGCGCCTCTCAGAGCTGTGACTGCGTTTCCGCGGTGCCCCACCAGCACCTTCCTCGCGCTCCTCAATCCCGAGAGCCTTCCCCTTTCAACAACCCCCCAGCCCCTGCGGGCTGTGCTCGCAGCCTCCATCCCCCGCCCGAGGCCGCCCGGGCAGGGCCGGGCCAGCCCCGGTCACCGCGGAAACGGAAACGCGCGGGCCGGGGCCGCCGGGAGCGGGGCCGGTTTGAACGTTCGGCCGCGGCCGCCGCCTCCCTCCACCGCGGCCGCGACCCGCAGCCCCCCGAGGTAACGGGGCAGGGCCCGGCGGGGCAGGGAGGGCTGCCGGGGACACTGGTGTGCGGCCCGGGCCGGGACACGGCCGGGGGCACGGCCGGGGACGGGGCTGAGCGAAGGGCCCTGGGGCGGGCCGGGGTGTGAACGCCTTCAGTGCTGGAGTGTGCCCGGAAAGGTCCGGCTCAGCTGGGACGCGTTCAGTGCTGGAGTGTGCCAGGAAAGGTCCGGCTCAGCTGGGACGCGTTCAGTGCTGGAGTATGCCCCGAAAGGTCCGGCTCAGCTGGGACGCGTTCAGTGCTGGAGTGTGCCCCGAAAGGTCCGGCTCAGCTGGGACGCCTTCAGTGCTGGAGTGTGCCCCGAAAGGTCCGGCTCAGCTGGGACGCGTTCAGTGCTGCAGTGTGCCCCGAAAGGTCCGGCTCAGCTGGGAAACGAGCGGCGCGGGAGCGAAGAGCGCTGCTCTGTGCGGTGCTGCCTCCTGGAAAACAGTCCTGACAGCTTTCTGGTTCTGTTACTTGTAACTATCGCTCTACTTGCTGTTTTCCCTCCCTCTTCTTTTAAAAAAAAAAACAAAAAAAAACAAACCCAAACCCTCTAATTCTAAGGAATACCGAGTTAGGAATGCGGTATCACACAAACGCCTTGAGGTGTTTTGTACAAATTGGGTGTAATGAATATATTTATTGTGTGGTTGGCTATTCAGTTTCAAACCCAAACAAGCACATTCTTGTAGATTACACTGAGAACCTGTTATTTTCAAAGAGTCTGTCTTAGGTTTGTGTTTATTTCAACACAACACATCTAGTTTCACTTCGTGTATTGTTCAAGCACATCTTTGTGTGGCCTAAGATGAAGAGAGACTGATGTAAGACAGTATGTGACGTTTTCTACACCAATGGCATTAATTTTGCAGGTTACTTTGTGTGCTTTCAAAATGAGCAGTGAAGATGAAATAAAGGAAAAACTGGATGCGGAGTTAGATCGCTGTGTTGTGGCTATGAAGCCCTATGTCCTTAACCTGCAGCATAGTTCAGGTACAGATGGTAAAATGTGCATTTAAACACTAATAACAAAGCCCTAGGGGCTGGTAATTATTATGTGTAATTAATTTAACCAGTCACTTCACCTCTGACATTACAATGTACAGTTTTGATGGGGGTTTGCACAACTTCTAAAGTTGGATGTTTGAGGTACCTGCTGCAATTGTTTGACCTTATCTGTCTTGTTTTCATGATGTAAATGTGCTTTTGCACATTTACAATACATTGACATCTATCTTTAAAGACCTAGTTCAGTAGAAACTAAAAGCTTTTAAAGGGCATTGTTTCTGAGATAGCAAATATTTTTTAATTATAAAGTTGTTAACATTTGTTCAGGAATGTGTAATAATAGGAACATCAATTAATAAATGATGTTGCATAAATCTAATTTTTACAACAAGCTTGTTATTATTAAAGGTACAAACCCTACAAATTAAGACCTTTATGTGTAAACATTTAACTAAATGAATAATTTCCTTATCTGGTAGCAAATCTTGTGTAAATAGAGATTTATTTTTTTTAATAGATGAGGATTTATTGCGTATTTAAAGTATTAATGCTCGTGCAAGCTGTGAGTTGTAGTTTATGGCAGTTCTTGCAGTGAGTGCAGAGTTCCTGAGATTTCCAATTCCATGTTTACAAAAATCGTGTAAACTTCTGGTAAATATGAATTTATAGAAAATGTTTTTGCAATATGTAAATTTGAACCATTGTTAAAGACTTTTTTTCCCCTAAATATTCAACCATTTATTTGGTTTGGTCATTTGGGAGTTTGTTTTCTTTTTAACTTTGGTGTAGAAGGGAGAAACATACAAAATTGGTGACAGTGATGGCTTCTGTTTTCTGCATGTGTTTGATTTGCTCTGAAAATGCATGGTGACCACATATATCTGTATTTTCAGAAAGAAAAAGATGCTCACTATGGATTAAAAAACTCTGCAAACCTTGTGCAGCAGGCATAGGAATAGTGGGAAGGGAGAATCGAAACTTGTATGCAAAACTGCTGCTCCACATGCTGCAGAGAGGAGTTCTGAATGGTCCCTTCAGCCAGAAACCAGAGGAAGGAATGCTGAAAACTTTGCCTGCCTACATGGTGAGTGTCATTTCTTTACAAGACAAACTTGCTAAAATGTACCCTGGAATTGCTTTTCCATCTTAGATTTGGCACAAATGTGACAAACGGTTCTGAGTGGGTTGAGTGAACTCGTGTGATAAATAAAGGCATTTCTTGTAATTGATGCTGGGCAAAACCTTTTGAGACCTGTATCTTCAAAATTCTGGTTAGAAGGCTTATGAGAACAGGTGTTTGAAGGAACAGAAAGGTAATCTTTTTCTAGTTCTTTGGTAAAATGTAATAAAGGCTCTTGAGGCTTTCTTTTGTCCTCATCAGTAGATAGCTCTTGTGAAAGGAAAATTGTTCTTAAAGGTGGTGACTTCAGTAGCCTGAGAATACTGTGGAACTCCCACAGACATCATTAAAGTTGCAGTTTGTTTTCTGAAGAGCTGAATATGCTGTGTCTACCCTTGACATCAGCTTCAGTGAGATAACAATGCCAATTTTTGCTAGAATTACCCATCCTGTAAGAAGTATTGGAAAATATTTACACTGTTGCCATGAATTCCCATGGGTTGGGAACATGTGCACACCTCACTGACCTCACTGGAAAAGGAATGATTGTACTGCAGATAGTCCTGCAAGAAATGACATTAAGGCTGTAAAGAATGTATCTGTGTAAATGTATTCTCCCGTTGATTTTGCATTTGTTCTCATTCTAGTCAGTTTATTTTGATGAACCAAGTTCACCAAGACTTCGGAACAGCCACTCTGACTGCTTATCTGAGTGGACGGTGGGAGACCTGGGAAAACATGACAGTAATGTATCCTCTGTGGAGGACTCCTCTTCAGCAACAGCTCCTGCACATGGGTAAGGTTTCTGTCCTTGCTTTAGCAGTGTTTGATTTGTATTTAATAGCTGTAAGCTCTGGATGGCTCAGTTTGGATGAGTTTATGGCACTCCCTCATGGACTCACCATCAGTGTTTGTGCTTTATAGACAGAAACTCTGGTAACAGCTTCAATGTAATGAGAACTTCTAGAACTCTCTTCTTGCTTTTCTTCATTATTCTCTGACTTCTTTACATCTCCTTCCACGTCCCATCCCCCTATCCTCTTTCTCTTCCTCTTGTTCTCCTCCTCCTTTCAGTTCCAGACACTTAACATGGAAAATCAAAGCTTACATCTGTAGTCTAAGGCCATGATGCTGAAAGCAGCTGGTTCATCAAATAGTTTTTAATGGCTTTTTTCCCCTGTAGATTAGAAATATAAACAAGCATACAGATGGTAGATTTAGAGGTTGTTCTATGACTGTTGCTCACAGTTTTTTTTAGAGGAAATGGAATAGTGGCTCCTTGCAGATAAGCAAGTTTTGCTGAGCGAGATTTAGGTTTTTGATTTGCAGCAGCCAGTGAGCTTAAACTGCATCCTCAGTCCCAGTCAGCTGAGAGTAGAGCTGTTTACAGCAGGGAAAAAGGGTGAAATGTGTCGTTATTAAGGCTTGTTTTCCTGTTGGCTTAGAAAGATGTCCCTGCAGTATTGAAGGAGTGACAAGCTGATCATTTGGACACTTGGAAAACTTCACTCTATTCTGTCCTAATTTGTGGGAATCTTAGGTAAATTCTAGTGTAATCTACTGTTCTTAAGTATTTCCTTTCTGGATTTTCTTACATAGTGCAACTTCGTGCTGATTATCAAGATCTGTGTTCCTTTTTTTCTTTATGTGTCTTCTGCATTTCAGTAATGGATGGAATTTCCTCTTGTTTGCTTCTTTTAAAGTCTCATTAATGTTTAACCTCTCTGAAATCCTTGGTGAAGGAAGCACTCTTAGACATGGAGTGAATATTAGTCAAAGCTCAGTAGGTACTGTACAAGAGGAAGTGAGTGTTTGCTCTGCTTCTGGTTTCATTTCATTGTGTTAGAAATATATTTTCAAGTTTAGTTTCTGAAGTTCAATGCTTTTTTCACACCTTCACTTATGTCTTTTATAAGTGGCCACCATTAGCTGTTCTCTTGTAGGCACACTGATGTTTATGCTGTTTATCATCATTTTTCAATCATGTTTTTAGTTTTCCAGCAGTGATTTGGATAAGTGACAGATGGATGCTTGCAAGTTAAATCACATGAATATTGAGTATCGTGAAACTCTTGTGTATCCATTAAATGTGTGTAATTCTAACAATCATTTTAAAAGTTACTCTTATGTCTGAGATCTCTGTACCTCCTTCTCTTGAGGATTAGGGGCTCTTCTGGTTGCTTGCATTCATACTCTGATAACAGCCTGTGGTTTTGATAACAGACTTGTGGTTTTGATGTGCTAGAGGGTGTTTCAGAACCAGAGGCAGACAATGGAGAATTTCCAGCTGAGTTATGATATTACTGATTTGGGCTTGGTGATACAGAGAATTCACTGGAAAAGGAATGATTCTGGTTTCATTTCATTGTGTTAGAAACACATTTTCAAGTTTAGTTTCAGATAGATACTGAAAATTGTTAGGAGGAGCTGTTCAGATACCCTCAATTAAAAAAGAAAATAGATTTGACATTACAAAAATAAGGACTATATCATATTTTAGAAATGTTTTTTGAGGCCTTGGAAGAATTTTTGTTACTGTTGTGCCATGTCAGGATACCTGGCCTGGTTGTGTCTGTCCCTGGGAGCAGCATCACCAAGTCAAAGTATCACTGGATGTCAGAAGCAATAAAAGTGTCAGCACAACTCTCCCCTGTTAGGCCAAATTTAGCAAACTGATACCTCTACAAGGCCATATTTTTGGTACAAAAATACACCTAATTACTCTGAATTCCTGACTTGTGCTGTCAGCTGGGGTGGGATTTGCATATTCCTCCCTCTTCATCCTGCTGGGGTTGGTCCCTGCTGGAGAAAAGCTGAGGTGCAGTTCCACCTATTCCCTCCCTTTGCCATAGTTTTTCTCTCTTTTCTACCTGGTTTATAGTAGAATACTGGGAATTTGATGTCTTTTCCCACTCTATGTCTGAACCTAAGATTCAGCTTGGCCTGGCAAAGTTCCTAAAGGTTTTTGGTTTTTTTTGTATAGTGAAGCTTTATTTCACTTTTCCCCTTCTATCCTGTGGGAATGAATCAATATCTGCATTGGAGAGTGGTCCCCAAGATTCTGCTGAGTTCTCTGGAGACCTGCATTGCAAATTATTCCATGCCAGGAAAAGCAAGTAAATGTAATTGAATAATGTTACTGGTTTAAAGGAATTAAAAATCAGGTGTACAGGCACAACTCTGCCAGCGGATGCTTGGACCAAGAGTGGGGCTGTGTCTAAGGAAATCTGAATTTGCGTTGGAAAATTTTGATAGTTCTGTAGAAATACATAAATTAATCTTCACCGCAATAAGAAACTTAATTTTCCTGCGAGTTTTGCAGAAAAATACTGAAGGTAAATATTTCAGCTGTTTGTTTTGAAAAAGACAAAATATTTACCTATTTAATATTTACTTAAATGTGACCATGTTAAAATATTACCTATATCCAACATACAGATCCTGGTTTTCTTTGTATTTACAATTTTGGATGAGCAATCAGTGCAGGTAAAACTGGAATATATTAAATATTTTCTGGATGTGCATTTTGTCGGGAGAGCCAGCAGATGGTGACCAAGTTCCACTGTATTTGTCTCTCTCCTCTGAATGTGCACTGGGAAACTGCATCCATGGGCATGGAATTTGTGTAGCTGGATGAAAATTTTGCATTCCAGCCATGACTCAGTTCCTACAACATTTTCTCAGGGCAAAATAGATAATGTCAGTGAGACATCTTTGAGTAACTGCTTGATGTTCTTTATCTCAAGATTCTCTCCTTTCAAAGACCCAAACAAACAGAAATTCTTTTCATAGTGATTTTTATCTTGCAATACAGATAATTCTGTGTTGGACAATTTTGACTTTTCCATATGAAGTTGTTTTTCTGCCTAAATAAAAGCCTTATATATATAAACCTTACCTGCAAACTGGGGTGTTGATGAATAAATCCAACTAGCTGGGACTGGAAAGGTGTGGCTTTATTTTGAAATGTGAGAGGGTTGGTTTGAGAAATGTTTAGATCGGTTTGAACAGAAACCTGGGCTTTCTGACCCTGTAGGAAAATTCTATTCTATATTTATAAACTGTGCCTGAAAACATTGTTAAAGGTTAGTGTGTTGTCATGCTGGACCGGGAGGAATCAGTGAATTTCCCTCGCTTTGTTCCTAGAAGGAATATTTACTAATCTCCTTTATTAGCAGCAAATTGCTGCCTCCTCCCATGCCCAGCTCCCTGCTTGGGCTGAAGCAGGAGGTCACAGGTTGATGTCAAAACTCTGCTCATCCTTCACTCACCTGCAGTGGGAGGAAAAAGAATTAATCTTGTGCTTTTTGGAGCCTGACTTGTATTAGCAGGAGGCTGGAAAAGGTAATGGACAGGTGGTACATACTGGATATGAGCAAAATTGTGTTCATCCTTAGCAATCTTTTCAAATTCTGCTTATACAATCAAGTAAAGAGCTTCCTTTTTTAGTTCCTCTTCAAAAGAGCAAACACAGAACTAAGAATGCATCTAGGCTTTTGTCCTCCCTTTGGTGAATTTGCAAATATTACAGGTAGCTTGGGTAGCCTTGTGTATTTGTTGATATTCCCAAATCTCTGAATGACGAGGGCATGAATTCTGTTTTCTCTCAGTTTTAACAATTGGAACTTTATTGCATTGTTAGGTAACCTGAGTATTACTCAGAAAGGAAATCTGATGAAAGAGCAGATTTACTCACAGGCAAAGATTTATCTCCCTTTAATTAAAGGTAATTTTGTGTCAAATGAAATCTTGGTAAGAAATGCAAGAGGCAGTCATTGTGTTATCATATTCCTTTTGATCTTTTTTACCCCTAAGACTTTGCTTATCTAAACTATTTACTGCTTTGTAATTGTTATTGTGCATCCATACATGTTGTTTATATGGGATTTATTGGTGCTGGAAGGGAAGGTAGGCTCCCAGTTGTTGTATTTCTCTGTTCCCTGCTGTTCTGATGAAAGCTGGGGCCCTTTGCTTCGTGAAAACTTTTTGTTTGTCTCCCTAGAAGTGACTGGTTTATATTGTACATCCAACAGTTGTTGTTCTGTTCATAAACACTTCATTCATCTCAGTGTCTTTTTGGCATAGCAGCCATCTCATTTGCTGCCAGATGGAAAGGAAGGGAGGTATTGAATGGTCTGATTTGACTTTAATATAATATGGCCAGTCACAGGAAGGTGAAGGACTAACAGGAGTTTTTAATTACCTTAATACCTGTGGAGCTGACAGTGGAGTATGTGCTGAAGGGTGTTTCACTACTGTTTTGGATCTTTTGCTGTATCAACCCATCTAATAAATGCTTAGAACTCCTACTTTATTTTGTTCTTTTTTCCCCTGTTCTGTGGCTGAAAAATGTCTGTGACCAGGTGCATCAGTGACAATTCTCTTCACCTGTCTGCTGCTCTGCATTTCCCTTTGCTCAAGTGCTTTATTTACAACAAAAGCCTTTCCAGAAAATCCCTCTGCTGGACAGAGCACTTGGTCATGCTGTGCTTGTGTCCTGTCTTGTGGGCATTTCTTTATCATCCCCCATAAATTCCACTTTAGTCCATAAAACAGAACTGAAATGAAACCAGGACTTGTTCCTCTCCACCTTGGCCTTTCAAGCCACTGCCTTTGTACAGAGCTGTGTGTGTCATTCTGGCCCTTTGTGTGTTATAGGACCATTTACCTTGTTCTAACCTATTTTTTTGGTCTTAAAAGTCTCCCCTATGGTGCAACCAACCATCTCCTTAATTCCTCTTTCTTCTCTGAGTCACTGGACTCCATCTTATGTTGTTTCATATTCTTAGCAATATTGTTTCAAAAGAATTCTCTTAGGTCAGCCTTCTCCTTAGCTTGGATTTATCCTGAAATCCTTTGGGAGACGTTGGGTCATGTAGTAAAAGAAAACAAAGAACACTTTTTAATGTACTGTCATGTACACAATATTTCTAGTGGGTTTTTTGGTGTGGGGTTTTATGGTGGTGGTTTTTTAATGGAGCACTTAAGGCTTTTATTTGCCTTTAACACTAAATTTTTCTCTTTTTTCTCCTTTTTTTTTGATCTTTCCATCTTGACAGTTATTTTCTTGTGTATATTTTAGCCGATTCTATTCTGTGATTAACATCCTTTGTGTGCCAAAAGTTGATGTAAATGAATTTCTCTCTTTCTGCTTCCTCCTGTCGTTAACAACAGGGAAGGACTCAATGAGAAGCCATCAGTATTATCCCGTTGTTGTCTGAGCTCTCCTCACCGGACAGATGAAGATGACCTAGGCACGTCACTGTCTGTAAGATGCTTCTCCTTTTTGTCCTAAAGCTCTGCTTTCCCTGAGTTCCTTTTATATATCCCTGTGAAGCTGTTCTTTCCAGCTGTGTGGGTCATGATCCCTGTGTAAAGGTGCAGACATTTGGGAGGCAGTGATAGGGAATGTTGAGCTTTTTTCTTCTTTTTGCCAGGGTCAGGATTAAATGTGCTAGAGGGTGTTTCTTGTTGGGACTCAGATGTTTATCAGTTCTGACCCATGTCACAGTCTCACAAACCCTGAGTTCTACAGCACTTCACTCTAACAAACTAAAAATGGAGCCCCATCTCTCTCTCTGCAAGGCCTTTTAAGGATAAACTGTCCAATTAAGAAATGACACCTAAATTATTTTTACTTTTGACCAGATAACCAACCACCCATGCTCACAATGTGGATTTTTATCCAATTACACAAAACCACCCAAACCCATGGAGAAGAAGGTGAAGAAGAAGGAGCAGCTTCAACCCCTAAACCTCCATCTTGCTTTATATATATATATTACTGTATTCTAAACCCTTGAACTCTAAGTTTTCCACCCTGTGATATTACACACTTCTATTCAAACTCCACACTCACAATCCCAGTTCCATCATTCCATTTTGGAATCTTCTCCACAGCCTCAGGTCAATGCAGTGTTCTCCTGGGGGTCGGTGCCTGGCAGCACAGAAAGCCTAAGATTCTCAGTAACCAGGGTTCCAACAAGGGAGGACTAAAGCTCATCAAATTCTGTCCTTTGCAGTGCAGGGGAAAAGAATTTCTTGTAGGATGCTCAGTTCCCTAAGATTCTCAATAACCAGGGTTCCAACAAGAGGGGACCAAAGCTCATCAAATTCTGTCCTTTGCAGTGCAGGGGAAAAGAATTTCTTGTAGGATGCTGAGTTCATCCTAATGCTTGACCTCTGTTTAGTGTTGTGTGTTCAGTGTCTGCTGCATTGTTTTCCCTGGGCTTGGCAACGTGCCTGCATTGACATCATCTTGTATTTTGCAATAACAGATTAAAGAAAGCTGCATAGATGCCTCTGGCTCTGTTCAGTGATGGTTGACCTCTGAAGGAGTGAATTTTGGACAGTTTGTTTCATCAGACTTTCCACAACGAGCATTTTGACTGATGAAAGGGCATTGAGTAGGCTTTGTCTGAAACCCTTTTAGTCCAACATATTCAATGATGTTGTTTATATAATTGCAAGCTTTGCACTGACAGTTATTCCTGACAAATGTGTGATACCCAGAAATGTGCTGTTTACCTTCCAAAATGTGCTCTGTGGCCTTGCAGTGTCCTTCACCACACCTAGAGCAGCCCTCACCCCTCTGTGAACACTGAATTTCCTGTTTGTTCCTCCAGCTCTGCCCACGCTTCATTTTTGATTCTATCAGAAGAAGAGTTTAGAAAGATTGCAGCTGGGCACAGCTGAGGATTTATGAGGACATGAAGTGCAAATAGGATAAACTGGAAGCTCCTTTCTGAGGAAATTTGTGTTCTGCTGTGCATCTGGAATAGAGGATTAGCAAGGGGATGGTTTATCAGGGCAGGTTACAGGTGCTCAGTGGGCAAAAATCAGTGTCTGTGCTCTAGGCTCTGATTGCTGTGAATGTATTTATGTGTGTGTTGATTGTATGTATACAAATGTAATTTAAATACAGGAATGCCATCATTAAAAATAAAACCACATGCTGGCTTTACTGCATGTCTCCTTATTGGTTTCCTGTTTATTTTACTTCAGGAAATATCCCTTATGGAAGAGTTATTGTAAAAAAAAATTATATTCTTCAGTTGAAACCTGGATTTGGGGCTTTAAAGTTTTGTAGGGGAGTTTTGCTGCTTTGGTTTGTTTATTTTTAATATTTTTTTTTGTTGTTATTGCTGGCTCTGCTGCAGCTTCCAGGTCAGTGTTAGCCAAATCACTGCACTTCTTTGTTCTTCAGCTCCATATACTGGATTCTCCTGTGATTACAGCTCTAAAAGGGCCTTTAAATGAAACAATCCTCTCTTGCTTTGCCAGTTTGATAATGTTTGGCTGGCTGGAACAAACAATACCTTGTTCCATTCTCAGGGATATTCTGGGATTTCACAGATGTTCTGGCATGGTTCAGGCCCAGGTAGAGGAGCAGGGAGACTTTTAGAAACATTAAGAAACATCAAGAGCTGCCTCAACCAAGTGTCAATTAACAGCAGCCCAAGCTCTGCTCACTGGATGCTTGTGACAAATGAGATTTAAAGAAAAGGTGCTGGCAGGCCCATACACAAACCTCACTTCATGAGACAAAGTAATTCAGGCTTCAGTGTTGTTTTTTAAATACCTGGGTCAAGGAAAATGTTCTGTACCAGCTTTTCCCATTAGATCCATTAAATGTTGGTAGTTGTTGTTATCCCACAGGAAAAACCTTTCTTCTGAGAGGCAATTTCCTGGAGCAGCAATAACCACAGCCCTGGCTGGGTGCTGGAAGTCGGGGGAGCCTTGAGCTGGGCAGCAGCTGCTCTGTCCTCTGCTCTGACATCCATCCCTGCCTTGCTGTGGTTTCCTTTCAGTTTTAAATCTGCTTTTTTATTTGGAGGCTGGTCAGGTGGTCGCTGAATTCTGGATGAGCCCCAGAAAAGGCACTGTGGAGATGAATAGATGCCTGAAAATGGAGTATTTTGGGTCTTTTAGTAAATTCACCCTCTGCAAAGGAGACCATTGCTTTGGAAATAAATAAAGAAGAACACTAAAGTGGAGAGCAAGGCTGATTTATCCTCTGAACTGCTTTCTCAGCCCAGTACCCTCTGGAAACTGAGCTGTTGAGGTGAAAACTGTCAGAAGTATTGTGACACTATTAGGAAGTGCAGTGTAGCTATGGCCAAGTCAATGAGAAGTTTAATTTTAAATTAAAAAACCAATTTCCAACAGTTCTGATATTTTCTTTGACTTTTTTATGTTCCAGGATGATCAACACAAAAGGGACTTTTCATTGGATGATGATGACCTCGAAGCACGACTCAATAGTTGGAATCTTGGGGTAAAATAAACTGAATACTTTCCTTATTTGTTAACTTGTAGTGGGAACTTCTCAGTAATGTAGTTTGCTTTCTGAGCTTAGCCAGCAAAATTTCATATGGAAATTAATTGCTAAGGATTGGAAAAGTTATTTATGAATGTATGAGAAGAAAACATTGAAAATTTAAGTAATAATAATCTTCACACATTTAATATGGCAACTCATAAATCAGGCCAAACAATGGCTCTTGGTCAAAACCAAGAATCTTACTCTGATAGAAATTCAGACTAATTCTTGATGACTCTGTAACATTGTTTTTTATTTATACTTGTATAAATGAAAGAAGAGTTTGGCTTTCTGTGTTTATTTTTTTTAACCAAAGAAGAATTTGTAAGCCATTAATACAACTCAGTTTTTTTTGGTCAGTGTGCCTCCTTTTGAAAGTGTTCAGGAGGTTTTTCTGTGTGTTCACCTCTTTCTTTACCTTCTAATAATTCAAATTTATTAGTGTTATAAGACTTTATTTCTTTGGTTGTATTTTCTGTGGTATTAGTCCATGATAGTTCTAAGGAGACAATGAAGTACCACTTCTCTATAGATGTATTTTAATGTATTTTTTTCTATTGTGTTGTTTTGTCTTTTTTGCAACCCTTTCACTTGTACCATCAAATCTTCAACCTATTTCATTGGAATTAATATCCTTATAGCAATTTAGTTTTGTTAAGATCACTGTGATTTTAACAGGGAGGTTTCTTCTTTCTTTTCTTCCTTATTTTGGCTTATTCTCACAGGTTGAAAGCTCACAGAGTTGCAGCCAAAGTTAGGAGTGATTAGAGCGAGTTTAACAAAATAGTTCAGCCTTGTTTTTTGAAAAATAATCACATATTTTCATGTTGTCATTTTAATCAGCTGCCAAATGATCCTTATTCTTCCTCTACTATTGTCAATCCAGAGGGATATGACAGCATTTAAAAATCTTGCCTATTACACTCCAGGTTTTCATGGATGGCCAAGTTCTCTTCAGTGCAATCAGAAATGATAACAGAGAATATTAATGGTTTTCTGTCCTTCTTGGTGTTTCTCATGCTTTTTCCAGGCTGAGGGTGGAGATGGGTGAAAGTGTCAGCATTGTGCAGGTGCCTGAAACAAAGGTGCAATTGCAGATTTTGAATATTTGGGCTGTATTTATCCATTGAAAATATGACCAGAAAACTGTAATGCCTTGAGCTTTTAAAGCTGCTTTAAGGGGGAAAACTTGCTCATGACCATTTCACAAATTACACCAACTGATGCTGACAAAGGATCTCTTTATATCCTGCATTTTTATATCAGTGTCAATCTGCCTACCTGCTTATCTCTTATCTCAGTCATTTTATTTGTATTTTATTTCTTTTCCTAATTGAAATTCCAGTTTGCAATCATGTTGTGCTGATAATGGCTGGTTATTAAACTGTGATGATCCTCTGCTGATACAGGAGCTCCCTTGGATAACAAATTGGCTACCGTGGCACATAAATCAGTTTTTCAAGTCTCCTCTCCAGGGATGGTAATTAAAGAAGTCGCTCATGAGAGACTTTGATTGCCTGATAAGACTTGTTGGGAGTTACCTGACAAAGGGGATTGGAGGTTGTAAAGGAGAGGTCTGTGAGAGGTTGTGCTGAACAGAATTTCCCTGCTGTGGATCACAGCCTCCAGTGGGTTCTGAAAGGGTCAGGAAGTTTTAAGTGGAGTGTCACACTTAAAGAATATGTCAGTGCTAAAAATAAAAAAAAAACCACTAAGTGATCCCTTGGAATCTGTAAGGTTTGAGTGTCAGATGTGGCTGCTGTTATTTGCAAGCATTTAAATTGCCATGGGAGCATCTTGCTGTCCTTTAATTGCTACTCCCAGCTGCACACCCTTTGGGAAACTTAATTTACAGTGATCCCACCTGAGATACAGAAGACCCTTGACCCAAAAAATACTTCAGTAGTGGGGAAGATAGGAAAGGAGATACAGAGTGGCTTTCACTTTGAGCTGCCTGGGCTGCAGAACAGTTGTCTTGAAACGCTTTTGAAACTTTCCTTGGGTTTTTTTTGGTTATCCAAGGATTTTTGTCAGTAAGAATCTGTGTTATTTTAGGAAGCTGTGAGTATTTCAGACAAGTTTATATGGAGACCATGCTTTTATCCAAGAATCTGCAAATCCCCAGCTAGGTACACACATGGGTGAGGCAGCCCTGGTGTCTTCCAGCTGTGAGGTGCTGCTGAGCCTTCACTGCTCCAGCTTGGATTGAAATGACCAGTTAGAAATTGTTAATGTATTTTTACTGTTATCTTTCAGTCTCCTTCTTTAATATATTTTAAATTTCCGCTTCTTCAAAGCTCTTGTATTTTTAAGGTCACATTCTGGATGTGTGTTCAGTTTTTATGATATACCCACATCAGTAATTGAGATTTTAAAAAATATTTTTATTAAAAATACTATGGAAACATTTGGGAAATGCTTTTATGAGTTTTCTACTAAGCTGAGAGGTCAAATCTGGAGACTTCAGATATTTGTTCTTAATAATAACATTTTCTACAGGAGAAGTAAAATCTGCTGTGTTACTTTGCTGATATTGTTACTTTTTGTGAGTAATAAAAGAATTTTTGCCTTTTTCTTGCAGCATTCCTGATTATCCCTATCAAACATTTTTTGATTCAAGTTCTTTATAGTCCAATCAGGCATGAGTAAATGTTTGAAAAAAAAGTTGAGTTTTGATTGTGATAAATTTGCCTTTTGTACATGGAATACTAATTTACACTCATTTTCCATACATTATAAAATGTGTTTTTCCTAGCCTGTGTTGACTCTTATCTAAACTGATGTGGGGACTGTCCTTTATCAGGTGTTCATGCCTTGAAGCTGCATTTGCCACGTAGAAAAGCAGAAATCCTTTTGTGTGGCTGTTTGAAGGGAAAAGTTTCAGAAGCAGGAGCTGAGACAAATAAATAGCAGCAATCTTTGGTCATGTTGTTACTTTGAACTTTCTTTGTCAGTCTTCAGCCATCCTGGAGTATAATAAAAGTAACCTGGGCCAGGGGAATGAGAAGAACTTTAAGGTCCCTTCCAGCCCAGACTTTTCTGTGATTCTGTGTTCTTATTTCATTAACAGCTGTCAATAAATTTCTGCTTATTGTTGCAGCTCTAGTGCACTTCATAACTGAAGGGAAGGTGACTGTCTCCTGTTTATGTCTCAGAAATAATTAAATATTATGAAGGATGTGTAGTGTCAGGGAAAAAACCTCGTTGGATAATGAAATTAAACTGCTTTTTTAATTATTTTTTTTTCCTCTTTAGATGAGCTTTTTAAATTGTGGACAAACATAATTTTTGGATAAAAAAATAAAGTTACATAAAGAAACAGCAATGAATTAAACCCCTGCAAATTCTTACCTCACCTTTCTCTCTCTCATGATGCCTGTGGTGCAGTTTCATTTGTCACCAAATTGTAGCCAGTTTTAGGGGTGACAAAGCCTCTCTTTCAAACATCCCAGGAAATTCAGCACATCATTTTAGGTGGAAAGCACACAAAGAGATTGCACCCTGGGGAAACAGCAAAGGGCTTTTTAATCAGGGAGAACACGATTTTTCATCACTGGAATTCAGCCAGGACAAGAATTAACTCTTTCGCTTTTCCCAGCAGCGATGTGGGACTGACTGGACGCTCAGTCTTGCCCAGAAAAACTTGTCCTGGGAAATGTTATTGCCTAGGAGAGGTCTGAGAAGACTGAGAGCAAAGAAATTCTGTGGTTGGTGGCTGTGCTCTGCTCTCCTTCCTTGGAGCAAAGTGTTATAACACAGGGTTAAGCGGACGGAGTGTTGGGAATTCCTGGGCGGCTGCAGCAGCACTGGATGCTGTGCCTGCTCTGTGTGCTTGGCTCACATCTGCCTGTGTCTTTCCAGTCTAGTTAAGCTCAACCATTTCTGCACAAGCCATTTGATTATCTTTTGTTTGGTTTCTCAGTCTGGCTGCTTACTATAAACATACCTACTGTATATGTTGTGGCCTTGCAGGGCAGCAGTGCTGGGAAAACTTTCCCACAGTGAGCTCCAAGTGGTGTTGAGACTTCAAAAAATAAATCTAACTTCCATGCTGACAAACAGCCTTCATCTGCTTTAATGTCCTTCCACTAAGACTGCAACAGCAGCATTAAAGTGAACTTCCCTACAAATTATGATGTTAGATAAGAATGTCCTTACTCAAATTTCCTGAAGCTACTCAGCAGTTATTTCTGTAGGGAACATGCTGGCTGGCTGGGTTTGGTAGATTAAAGTAAGAATTTAGGGCAAGGTTCAGTTTAGTTGTTTACCATTTCAAAGTCTTAAGTGTTCTTAACTCTTTCATGTGTGTTTTTGCCGTCCTTGTTTTGAAAACAGTCCCATTTTGTCTTTGATGAAGCTTAGGGGGGAATGTGCAACGAGCCTGCAGATGCAAGTGTGGGGGTTTTATTCCCTGAATCTTAATATTTGCAATATTCTGTGAGTGGACTGACACAGGCTGAAGTTGGGCATTATTGGAGATACCCATCCCTGGATAAACATCTTCCAAAGAGTGGAACAGGACTTTGGAGGGGTAGTTTGGAACCATGACTTCAGTGTTGTCATTGTTGTGGTATTTACTGAGCAAAAGAGCAAAGCTTTGGTGGGAATTTCTGGACTGGCCAATATTTTCAGCCTGAGGGATGGAATGTAATTGATGAGGATGAGACTTGTGGAAGTACTTAGAGCTCAAAACTGTGCTTTTCCTGCACTTTTGGGGGAAAGCATTTCAACTTTTGTCAGTGCTTCAATTATTACTTGCATTGATAGCTTTAAAATTGTATAACTCATAAATATTTAGTTTTGACTACTTCAGGTGTTGTCAAAATAAATAGAAATTGAAAATACTGAAGTTACAAATTTGCCTGAAATGCAGTTTTGGAATTTTATTTTTAAGTACATTTCTGCAATACTTTTTTTCCATTTAAGAAAATATATATATTTTAATGAAATAGATTATCTCTGTTAGGTGATGGGGATTTCTTCACGGGGATCTGATCACCCAACACCTTCACAGCTCTGGTTTAGGAGAAGGGTGACCATTGCAGTCCTCACAAATTGAAACATGATTTCTTGTCAGACTGCCTAATAGAGCAGGGGAATCCAAAATCTTTTCTACAAAGACATTCAAAATACCATTTCTGTTAAGAAGTGGTATTTACAAATTAGAGTTCAGTTCTAGTTCAAATAAAGATGTCTTTCATGATGACATTTATTTGGTTCATACTCTTAAAAAAGCATGTGATTTACTGCTCTTCTCATGGCAGTCCTTCAGTTTCATACATATGTATTTTGGCTTGTCTTTGACCTTTTGCTTATTATTTTTAAATTTGCATGTTTCTCATAAATACAGACTTTTTTTTCTTTTTTGGGGCATTCTTTATTGTGATATTCCCTCTTTAATGTGGTTTAATTTGGAGAACAAGAAGTTTTGCAGAAGACCAGCATGAAAAGAATGAATGTTGAGGCATTAAATGTTTACAGATCAGTTTAAGTGGATATAATCCACAACAAGTAACAAAGTGGGAACATTTAACTTCAAAGCACATATGGCTGCTGTTACAAAATCAAAAAATGCAAGACTTGGGCCCTACAAAGTATTAGAGACACATTTTCCTTCTTTCCCATAAACAAGTAGGATGTACCTTAGCTTTTCAGATGGTTTTGAAGTGAAGGCTGCAAACAGCTGAATGTCATGGGCAGATAAAGGATTTTAATTAATTGTAAATATTTACAACATTTACATTTTTATATTACTTTTTATATTGCTTTAAAAAAGCCAAAGTAAAGGGTGATTCTGCATGGGAGACAGGGCTTTGGGAAATCGTGAAGCCTTTGAAATGTGGCTCTGCAGCCTTCTGCAGGTTCCACCAGGTATTGGTCAAGGCTTCCACTGCTCCCCCTGATGCCAGACTGGGGAGTGCCTTGAGCTTCTGGCAAAGACCTTCAGCCCTGGGGATGATCAGGAGTGTGGGCTGGGTGGGGAAGTGGCCAAATTGAGGTGGGAGGAGGAACAGAATACCAGTAAAATGTAGGTGGAAAATCCTATTGCAGGTGCAAATGTGTAGGACAAAGAAAATCCTCCAAAATTTTTCGAGTTTGGGATTTCTGTACTGTTTATTTCCCTCTCTCTTGATTTGCTTTTCCTTCCCCTCTGCTGGATCTCCTGTGGTTGGTGCTCCAGGCTGATGCCACTCCTGTATTCCTTTCCTCACAGTCTCCTCTGTGTCCAAAATTCCTCTTTTTTGTGCCAGTGGGTGCATCCTTCATTCCCTGGTGGCTGCCTTTGAATTTAACTGCCAGCACAGGACACTTTGTGTGAAGGAAAGTTGAGTGTAATTGTTTTAGTAAACTCCCTGACAATTACTAGGTTATTGTTAAATTATTGGTTTCCTGATGCTTTCAGCTAATGCATTAAAATTCTGGATAACACCATTCATTGAAATTTGAATGTTTGTCTTAAATGTGTCTCCAACGACTTCTGGGTGAAATATGACAACTCAACGCCACACAGAAATCCTACATCACCTTTTGGGACAGGAAATGAATAATACTGTATCAAATTGAAATTTCAGAGGGATTAAGCCTCTTTTCCACTGATAAATTCAACACACAAATTTATTTCATACTACTGCAGAAAGTGCAAGCATTTGATATATTTGCCATGCCTCGTAGATCAACCTAATCCTGCAACTTTTCTTTTTTTTTTTAAATGTGTATTGCAATCTCATTCGTATTCCAGATCTCACTGCCACATTTTACAAGATTATACCCTTGAAAGCTTTTTTTTGGGCATTCTGCTTTCTCTGTGATGTGATGTTTGAGCCTCATCATCTGAGAAAATGAGAAAGATAGAGCTGTCTGATAGAGGAAGTGGGTTGGGAACAATGCTTTGTCTCCGGTTCTTAAAAATAGTGATTAAGAGAGCTGTTTTAATTATACAGCCATGTTAATGAATTATTTCCTTATGTTTTGTCTCTATAACTTACATGTGTGGCTATAGTTTCAATGCACCCAACTGTAATTTTTCAAAGGCACTAGATTTTAATCAGTACAATCTGTAAATATATTGTAGCTCTATACTGATTTCAATGAGAATTTAGGCAATAAAGTTGGAAATCTTTTGCATAAACTTATGTATGTAGCTGCCAAATATTTTGTGATATGCACTGATGGAATTTTTGCAACCACAAGAGTTGGGAGGGAAAAAGTGCAATTTTGGATCCGTTTACATTGTCAAAATTGCTGAGTAGATTTCCAACCAAATGATCTCTTAGGAAGATTTCCTATAAGATTTAAAGCATGTTCTGTAAGATTTAAAGCATGTTTAAAGCATCTGTGGTTCTTTGAGTGATGCAGTTCCTGTGCTAAAAGTATGGTTTAGTTGTGGTGTCTTGGACTAAATCAGACATTGTTGACCTGCTGAATTTTCTCTGCCTTGTTTTTCAGTTAGAAAACCCCAGATACCTGCGAGAAAAACGGGTGCCAATGACTGTGGTAGGTATTTAAATTCCCTTGATATTTCAAACAAACCTCTTGGAAAACCTTGGTAAACCAAGGGCAAACAAACCTCTGATGTTATTTTTAATCGCTGGTCAGGGTTGATTGTACTTGGATTTACTGGTTTTGCCTTCATTGGTTTTTTTGAACTTTTTCCTCAATAGATGACACCTAAAATTGATCTTGGGCAGAGCAGCCGCTCTCGGTACCACCAGGCACTGCTTCGCACGCAGGAGAAAGAGGTAGGATTCTTTTCCTTGGAAATTGGGCATTAATAAGGAAGTCATTGTAGCAGAAAATCTCATGGAAGAGAAATCTGCTGAAGTGACAGGGCTTGTCATTAAATACTTCATGGATTTCCCAATTACTTAGGGAATAAAAAAGACTTTCTGAACATATTTACCGGTCCTTTGGAAGAATTTTTAGTGGAGAGTTTGAATTCTAGAAATTTTCCAAATTACCCTTTAATAAAGGTAGTGAAACCTTTGTTTTAGGGAGGACTTTTGTGTGCTTTCTATATACCTTTCAAAATGAGCAGATTTTGACCTTATTTCTGATAGGATCTACATTATTTCTGTATTTGCTTCATTGAGCTCCAATCCTCTTTTGGTCATATGGGGTTTTATTTTACTTCTTTGTAACTTTGTGAATTCCTGAGATTGCCGTCTAAGCTTGGCTGTCTAATTTTCTTACACCATGGTTTTTTGCTTTGAATATGTGTAAAAGTAAAATTTTGTGGTCATTTTCACCTTTTTCATGCTTTAAGGAAGTCGAGTGCCTGAGATATTTTGTCACAAGCTGCTCATTTTATTTAACATGTTTCTTTGTTTGAAAGACAGTGAATTAATGGGCAGAAAAGGAAAATCAAGGTGCATTAGGAAAATGATTAATAGAACCCCAAACCAAACCAACCATTCATAAAAAAACAACAAAAAACCAAATCCAGCACTCTGCTGTGTTTGTCTTCAAAATTTCTGAATTCAGCCATATGCTCTTAGAAAATTGAGACAATGTACATAGTTCCCTACTATCCAGAAGGACCTAAAACCACAAAGTACCCCAAATATTATCTGAGTTGGGGAGGAAAGGGCATCATCAGCACAGCAGGAAAACATTCTTTCATTTCCTTGGTGTCTTATAAGGACACATGGATTGGAACTGCCCTAAAGTTACTTCCATGGCAATTCAGAAAACATCTTTAGCAGAGATACAGAGGAGGGTACAATTGGTTGGCAGCTACTTCAGTTGTTAATAAAAGGATGTGTATGAAATGTTTTGTGGTGCTACCTGGCTGCCTCACTCAATGCTCAAACAAGCAGCTGCACAATCCACGTGCCTTTCACTTTCTCTGCTCTGCTGTTGCCTGTTCCTCTGTATTGACAACGTTCAAACCACCAGTGCCTCAGGATGAGGCAAGGTTTCATAAGATGTGAAAATAGCCCAAGAAATAAATAAATTGAAAGCACAGTGTTGTCATTTAAACAATATTTTCGAATTAAATAAACAGGAATGCATGCCAAGGAGCTACATAAAATACCCAGTTAATACTTTGCTAGTTCAGTGGAAAAATCCTCTAAGCCACACAGTAAAAAACCCAGGACTTTCTGCTAATGGTGCTCGACTGTGGGCTGGTTTGAACTGGAAAGGTTACAGACAGTGTTTCACAATCACCATGTGTGTGCTATTAACGAGAAAACTTAAATGTGTTTTCATCTTATTTTGTTTGTGAAGCTCAATTAGGAAAAAAGTCTTTTTCATTTATAGAATGTGAATGTATTAACAGAGAAATGGTGCTGTACAAAAGGGTCCGGGGGAACCATTAACTGTTTTCAACCTCTTTGTAGTACAAGGGGAGAACATAAAATAGGATAACTGTGGGGTTTTTTGCTTTTAACCTTTAGACCTTTGTTCATAAAGCATTCCTGCACCTGTTTAGAGTCTGTAATGCTGAACACATGGCCATGAGCAGTGATAACCACATCACAGCCCTGCGAGAACGCCGATGTCATCAGGCAGCGGCTTTTAGTCAGCTCTTCCCCAAATACTTCTGACATGGATTAAACCATTTGGGAAATGGTCATTACTGGAAAATTGTGGGTTTAAACAAGGGAGATGCAACCCAACAGGAATAAATCCACGTTCAGCAGGACAGCAAAGCACGACAGATGGGGTGATTGGCCTGTCTTGATAAAGAGGGAAAATGTCCCTTTGAACTTCACCTCTGGCCATCCTGTGTCACCCAGAGCTCCACGGGGCAGAGGAGGGGAAAAGGAAAAGTCTGATTTGTGATTTTTCAGGAAAACAGATTCAGTGCCATTGCTAAGATACAGGTTTGGAATTCTTCTGGAATGAGAAAATAAAATCGGCTATGTTAATAAACTGATGTCTTTTAACCTTTCTCAAACAGCTAGTTTATCTGATCTATCACTGAGACATTCTGGTGTTTCTTTAAAGAAGTTCTCCTTCTTAATTTTTCATTTTGTCAGTCTTATTTATTCTTAGCATTTTTTCTCAATTTCCTTCTGTTTCATTATTTTGTAAGCAAAGATATTTATTTATCTTATCTCAACAAAGGAAGTCTAAACAAATCAGAGGCATATTGGAAATAATTTTCACTTTTCAGTTGAAGGTTGTACCTGGAGTAAATTTGGACTGGATTATACCAGCTCTTTATTTATTTTTCAGACAAGCTGGCAAGCTCAATGCTTTGTGCAATAATTTGTGAAGCTTCATCTGTCTGGGTTAACTGGGAACACCGAGTGTTTCCAATGTTTTTGTTGTCTTTATCAGTGCTGTCACTCCTCTGTTTTGATTTTTGGGAATCCAGTGATAGCGCCTTTGGACACTGGAGCCACTGGTGCTTTTCCAGCCTCTTGTGTACTGAAGCAGCCCAGCCTGGATGGTCGTGCAGCTGGGGCAGGAGGAATTGTGGGGAGGGCAGGGGCTGGCTTTTCAGGAGAACACCTGCGGGACAGTTCCACCAGTTTGTCAGATGAGATAGGTGCTGTGAGATAACAGACAACACAGAGAATGGGAAGAAGACCTTTTTTTTTTTTTCCCCTGAAAATGCATCTTCATGGATCAAGGACCAGAAGTAAGATGAAAAAAGAAGAGTGTTTTATAGGTTTATGATTCAAGAAGTCTTATCTTTAGGATGCAGCCTTTTTAAAAAGCTATTTAGGACCTTCATCTTTGTAATCTTTATTTCTGTTTTTCTCCTTTTATTTTGGGAATGAGCACTCCCTTTTACTGCCTGACACAAATTTTGTTTATAAAGATCATCAAGCCATTTATATGGTTTTACTGCACCAGAAGTGTTGGGATCTAGTGATATATTTACATGAAGATAAAATCTGCAGTGCTGATACAGTTAAGTCATGGTCTGGCTAGAAGGGCTCTGGATTGAAGGTGTTGAAAGCAGCAGATTTACTGTGCTTCTCACTTATCTGGCAGGAGATTATAACTTGAAACAGAGCAAATTGCACGAGGGCTGTGATATGGATTTCCCCCAAGAGGGACCATACAGAGAATGTAGGGGAAGGAATGCAGGGAGGAAAGAAAGTTGTAAAACTCGTGAGGGAGAGTGAATAACACTGGCTGGGTTAGCATGGAAAAGAGAAGGGAAAGAACATTTGAAGATAAGAGTCCCTGCAATTAGGAGATGGTGATCAGTGGGCATTGTCCTGCTGGGTTTGATTTCTTCCTCTTAATTGCCCTGTTCCACAGTGAAGTATTTAAATATATGAAATTCATGCCAAATATGAGCAATAAATGAACCCAATGTGGAGACAGTAACCTAAAACAAGGGCTCTTGTAATTAACATTATTTTGTCTTTAGCTACATCACGGATTTTATATTTTTTCCTCATTAAAAAGAAATACTTTTGTTCATATCTTCCAAGGACAGTAAAAAAAATATCAGTATTGTTCTTTTGTGTAAGATACTGAATTAAAAGTGTGTGTCTCTAGAGTTTAAATCTTGGTAGATGGATATAGAAACATCTGTGTATGGAATCAGGAGAGCTGGATGCAGCTCAAGGAACCTCCTTAGATGTGCTGGAGCTCTTTGTGCTTTTTAATAACAGGAGGAGAATGGTTTTGATGAACTCTCTGAAAGCACTTGAGTGGGCCCAAAAACTGAGTCTTACAATAACTGGAGCTTTGTGTGTTGGAATTTTTTTTTTTATTATTATTCCTCTGTTCTTCCAGTTCTCCTCCTTTGCTGTTCCCCTTATTTTGTCATCATGTTCACTGGGGGCTGTCCAAGCCATACTTCTGTTCATAAATGTCATGCTGATCTCCAAGGGTAAAGATTGTTAAGGTTTTTAATTCTGGTTTTTAATTCTTGTTAAAATGTAAGAACGCGTGTTGCTTACTGTTCACACAAGTGTGACCCATATGAGGGGGCCAGAAAAGGCAGATATGACATAATTATGCCTTTCATCGTGATTTTCACTTTTCTGCAACTTTTTTTTTCTTATGACAACTTACTTCTGAAAACACTGTTTTATTTCCCCTTGAAAATATTCCAGGCAGTGACAGCAACTATTTTCTGGTTCATTTGAATTTTCTCCTTTTCTCCACAACCCCTGTGTCTGTTTTGAATGCAGGGTGTGATTTATATGGAGAATCCAGTTGTAAACTGATTCTCACCCCTGAGTAATCGTCCTGAGTAGGAATCTGTTCGTTCATATTTAAAATCACAGCAATCTTGACTGCTGCTAACATAATTCCTGGCTGATTAATGTCCTGCTCCCAAAAACATGTGCAAGTTGTCCATTGTGTTCCTTGTGAGGAAGTCACATCCTGCCTTGCTTTGATAATTCTTCAGAATGTAATGTAATAAACCCCAAACCTTATTTTATTGCTAGGCTGGTGTGAGACACACCACACAGTGGATGTCAAGATGAGACATGTTTTCATAAACTGGCTGCTGATTTATAATTCTGATACCAGTCAGGCTGCTTGTGGAGATCTACATGTACATGTACAGTTATTTATTTTTTTATTTTTTTGCAATAGTTTGTGAACTATGTCTTTAATTATTGCACATATGGGCTGGAGACATTGAGAAAGATCAAAGGGGTAGGTTAGCAATTCAAACTAGTGTTTTAACCAGTAGAATGTCCAGATGGTTGCCAAGCAGCTGGGAATTAATCTTTTGCTGCATGATTAATCTCTGCCTCAAAGTGTGTCTCTCTTAAAAAAAGAGGATGAAAGTTTGATTTCTTTTTTTTTTCAT